CCGCCGCTGGGGAGCCTGTGCCCCACAACGGCAAAGGCCACAACGGTGAGAGGCCCGCGTACCGCAAAAAAAAAAAAAAAAAGAAAATCTACAAACAGCAAATGCTGGAGAGGGTGTGGAGAAAAGGGAACCCACTTGCACAGTGGGTGGGAATGTAAATTGAGTCAGCCACTATGGAGAATAGTATGGAGGCTCCTTAAAAAACTAAAAATAGAACTACCATATGACCCAGCAATCCCACTACTGGACATATACCCAGAGAAAACCATAATTCAAAAAGACACATGCACCCCAGTGTTCACTGAAGCACTATTTACAATAGCCAGGTCACGGAAGCAACCTAAATGTCCATCAACAGGTTGAATGGATAAAGAAGAATTGGTACATATATACAATGAAATATTACTCAGCCATAAAAAGGAATGAAATTGGGTCATTTGTAGAGTCATGGATGGACCTAGAGACTGTCATACAGAGTGAGGTAAGTCAGAAAGAGAAAAACAAATATATATTAACACATATATGTGGAATCTAGAAAAATGGTACAGATGAACTGGTTTGCAAGGCAGAAATAGAGACACAGACATAGAGGACAAATGTATGGATACCAAGGGGGAAAAGCCGGGGTGGGGGGTGGGGTGAGATGAATTGGGAGGTTGGGATTGACATATATACGCTAATATGTATAAAATAGATAACTAATGAGAACCTGCTGTTATAGCACAGGGAATGCTACTTCACTTTGCTGTATAGTAGAAACTAACATAACATTGTAAAACAACTATACCCCAATAAAAAAAAAAAAGGAGATTATGGAGTAAGCCAAATCACTCTCTGGGCCTCAGTCTTACCATCTGTGAAATGGAAGGGTTGGGTGGAGAATCCATGATTCCTAGAGTTGTTGTGTTAGAAGAGGAGAGACTTGGAGGAAATAACCCCTACGGAAAGTAAGAAGCCCAGGACTATATAAATAAACATTGATACCTACTAGGTTTTGAGACTCTACTACAGGTCAGACATAAACATTTTTTATTAACATTTAAAAAATATTTAAATTATCAAATATTTCAAACATACAGAAGAATCCCTAAATATAGTGATTGTGTCCACCTCCATGAGATCTTAACTCTTTATTCACTGCTGTATCCCCAGAGCCTAGAACAGTGCCTGGGACATAGTAGAAACTCAGTGAGGTTTTTTTGAATGAATAAATGACTCCTTATGTCTCTTCATATACAAATAAATGTTAGTTACTCTAGGGTAATTCCTACAAGTGGAATTGCTTCAACTCTAATAAGTTAATTGCCAAACAGCCCACCAATTTACACCCTCGTCACAAATATGTAGGTTTTGTGTTTGCTCAGAATCATACCAACGTTTGAAATTATCACGCTTTCTTATTTTTGCCAATCTGATGGATGTTAATGGTATCTCACTGTTTTATTTTGCATTTCCTTGATTATTAGTGAGGTTGGGCATTTTTCCTTAGGTTTTTCTTATGACTTGCCTGTTCCTTTCCTATGCCCATTTTTCTACTGGATTATCTTTTATAGTATCCAATATATATTTTGGATACTAACTCTTCGTTAATGTTTTGCAAATACCTTCTTCTTGTTGGTGGCTCATGCTTTCTCTTTGTGATATGATTTTTTGACCAGAAATTTTAATATTTTCAAATTTATGAATACTTTCCTTCATGGTTTGTACTTTATGTGTTTTGTTTAAGAAATTCTTTCCTACTCTGAATTGATAAAGACGTTCTCTTTTTATCGAAAAATTTTTTATTAACTCTTATTGGGAAATAATTTCAAATTTACAAAATGCTGCAAAGATAAAAATAGTACAAAGAACATTCATATACCCTTTACCCAGATAGTGTTAACATTTAATCACATTTGTTTATCATTTGATAAGTATAATATACAACATATAGTATGTAATACATATGATATAAAACATGTACATATATTTTTCATGATCTATTTGAGGGTAAGTTACATACATTATGGTGCTTTACAGCTAAATACTTCCGTGTGTACTTCCTACAAATAGGGATAGCACAGTTCAAAATTTACACTGATAAAATACTTTTATCAAATCTCCTGTTCATATCCCAGTTTCGTCAGTTGACAAATTTGATGTTGATACACTTGATAGCGTTTTTATAATCCTATGAACTCTATAACCATATAGCAGTTATAAAAACCCTTTGTACAGGCTCCAAACTAGAGGCAGGTATTGCATTTAACTGTCATATTTTTTTAGCTTCCTTTAATCTGGAACATTTCCTCAACCTTTATTTGTCTTTTATGATATTGACGTTTTTGAAGAATACAGGTCCCTCCCCTCTTTTCAGTAGAATGTTCCTTATTTTGTGTTTATCTGCTGTTTCCTTGAGATTAGATTGATGAAATGCACTCTCGGCTGGAACATACATAGATGAATATTGTGCAGTATTACAAAGATGTAGTATTGTATCTTTCTCAGGTTATGATGTCTGGAGGTACACAATGTCTATCTGCCCCTCATTGGTTGACCAACGCTAGTCAAAGTGTTGTCCAATTTCTCCACTGTATAATCACTGCTTTTTAAAAATTATTATTAATTTATTTTTGCTGTGTTGGGTCTTCGTTTCTGTGCGAGGGCTTTCTCTAGTTGTGGCAAGCGGGGGCTACTCTTCATCGCGGTGCGTGGGCCTCTCACTATCGCGGCCTCTCTTGTTGCGGAGCACAGGTTCCAGACGCGCAGGCTCGGTAGTTGTGGCTCGCGGGCTCTAGAGTGCAGGCTCAGTAGTTGTGGCGCACGGGCCTAGCTGCTCCGCGGCATGTGGGATACTCCCAGACCAGGGCTCGAACCGGTATCCCCTGCATTAGCAGGCAGATTCTCAACCACTGCACCACCAGGGAAGCCCCAATAACTGCTTTTTATTTTTTTGCTCCCCCAAACTCATAAGCAATCTGTAGGGAGACACCTTAAGACATGCAAATACTCTGGGGACTTCCCTGGTGGTCCAGTGGTTAAGATTCAACGCTCCCAGTGCAGGGGGTCCAGGTTCGATCCCTGGTCAGGGAACTAGATGCCGCTGGCAGCAATGCAGGCAATGAAGATCCCTGTGCCGCAACGAAGACCCCACGCAGCCAAACAAATAAATACATATTTCACACAAAAAAAACAAGACATGCAAATATCCTGCTCCTCATCAAAATTTCTTCCTAGCTTTAGCATCCACTGATGATTCTTTCCTGATCCAATCTTTGCCATGATAGTTGGAAAACAATTCATTTAAAGTTTAAAATTGTGTTTTTATGTATGTTTTTCACCTGGAATTGATTTTGTAGTGTGAGATAGGGATCAAATTCTACCTCCTCCCTCCCGCTCCTGTATGGCTAACTAATCAGCTCCATTTGTGGAAAAGCTGATAAGAAATGTCCACTCCTTCATACATCAAATTTCCATTTTTGCTGGGTTTGTTTCAGTAGTCTCTATTCTGTCCAATTGGTTTATTTGTTTATCCCTGCACCGATACTACAGTGTTTTAATTATTATAGTTTTGTAATAAATTTTGATACATAGTAAGGCAAGTATCCCATTATATTCTTCTTTAAAATTGTCTTCTCCATTGTTGTCTTCCTGGCAATTATATTCATTGTCACAGATAATTTCCACAACAATCTTGAGAGAGATTAAGAAACTTTCCCAAGGTCACAAGGCCAATAAGGAGGAATTTGAACCCAGGCCTGCCCAAGGTCAGAGTTCTTTCCATTTCTTCCTGGGGTTCTGCCTACCCAAAGCCAAAGGGATGCTTACCTAGGCATGGAGAAGTGGAGGTCAGAGAATCAAGTGTGGGCAGGTGAGAGAAGGCAGGTTTCAGACTGGGTTTGGGTTTGGTCTCTGGGTGTAGACTTTGCCAGCCAAGGGACTTGGTTCTGACTTGTCTGGCAGAACCGGAAACAAGATTGGAGGAAATGGGACCCCAGGACTGATCACCCACAGGTCTCCATGGGCACATCTTGCTGCTTCCCAGGCTGAGCAGGGTAGTGTGGCAGCAGCCTGACAGGGGGACCTGCGGCTGCTTTTATGCTGGGGGTTATGGTGGGGGCCTTGGGACGCAGGGAGGGGAAAGAATCTGGCTGGCTGCCTGGAAGCTAGGACAGAACCCACCCCAGGGAGCCCCATCCTCCACCAGCCCCTCCCTGCCTGCTTAAGAGACCCTAATCAGCTTGGGGAGATTAAGGGCTCCGGCCGGCTCTTCTCACACCCCCGCCCTGGGCCCTGGCAAAGGACACCCGTGGCAGGGCGTCAGAAGGATCGGCCCTGTGACCCCGAGCCCCGGCCCTGGCCCGAGCCCCGGACTTTCCGGTGAGTGGCAGAGCCCCCTCCACACGGACTCCAGGTCCTTCCTGCCGGAAAGAGACCATGGAAGGGAATGGGAGTGTTCCCACTGACCCCTGACAGCTCTAAGAGGGAGAGAGGGGCAGACAAGGGGCAGCGGAAAGCAGAGCAAAGCGGGGGGGAAAGGGGGTGCTTCCAGGCTATGCCCCTGACCCCATATAGTCGTCCAAGCCCCCGGAGGGGGTTGTGGAAGCAGAGATAAGCCGTGGGTTAATTGGCCTTTGAGAGCCTTGGGGGTTGCGGAGAGCCCTGGGGGTCGCGTCCTCTCATGCTGCTCTGTTTATGCTCCCAGAAGCCGGCAATGACCGCCCGCGCCCTCCTCGCGGGTGGGCTTCAGGACCACGGGCTCTGCGCCCCCACGCGGGAGGCTCAGTCTCCGCCCGGCCTTCCCCGGACGCCGTCCCGGCCCCGGCCTCTGCTGCGCCCCCTGCTGCTGCTGCCGCTGCTGCTCCTGCCGCGCCCCGCCCTCTCCACTGTGTTCACAGTTGGGGTGCTGGGCCCCTGGGCCTGCGACCCCATCTTCGCCCGTGCCCGCCCGGACCTGGCCGCCCGCCTGGCCGCCGCCCGCCTGAACCACGAAGCTGCCCTGGAGGACGGCCCCCGCTTCGAGGTCGCGCTGCTGCCCGAGCCGTGCCGGACGCCGGGCTCGCTGGGGGCGGTGTCCTCCGCGCTCAACCGCGTCTCGGGCCTCGTGGGGCCGGTGAACCCCGCAGCCTGCCGGCCGGCGGAACTACTAGCTCAAGAAGCGGGGATCGCCCTGGTTCCCTGGGGCTGCCCCGGAATGCGGGCGGCGGGCACCACGGCTCCCGCGATGACGCCCGCGGCGGATGCGCTCTACGCCCTCCTGCGCGCGTTCCGCTGGGCGCACGTGGCCGTGGTCACCGCCCCCCAGGACCTGTGGGTGGAGGCGGGACGCGCACTTTCCACGGCGCTCAGGGCCCGGGGTCTGCCCGTTGCCCTGGTGACCTCTATGGAGCCCTCGGATCTGTCTGGAGCCCGGGAGGCCCTGAGGAGGGTCCAAGGTGGACCCAGAGTCAGAGGTAGGCTCCCCTGCAGGATGCGGGGGGGTCGGCCGTCCAGCGAGCAAAGGACAGAGTACCGAGCGGAGCCTCTGTGTTCGCAGCAGTGATCATGGTGATGCACTCGGTCCTGCTGGGCGGTGAGGAGCAGCGCTGCCTGCTGGAGGCTGCAGAGGAGCTGGGCTTGGCTGATGGTTCCCTGGTCTTCCTGCCCTTCGACACGCTGCACTACGCCTTGTCTCCAGGCCCGGACGCCTTGGCCGTGCTCGCCAACAGCTCACAGCTTCGCAAGGCCCACGATGCGGTGCTCACCCTCACGCGTCACTGTCCCCCGGGAGGCAGCGTGCTGGACAGTCTGCGCAGGGCCCAAGAGCATCAGGAGCTGCCCCCTGACCTCAATCTGCAGCAGGTAGAGGGACCAGGGAGGAGGGAAGAGGGGAAGAGAGCAGAGAATAGCCAAAAAGGGGAGATGGAGGCTGGAGGCAATGGGAAGAGAAGTGGATAGGGTCGATGGAATGAGAGGAGGATGCAGTCAATAGGAGGGAGTAGGAGGCCAGTAGGGAGAGAATAACCAGCAGCTCTGCATGTCCTGGGTGATGTAAAGGCTCTGGCCTTGCTTGGAGCATCTTTGTGTATTGGAATTGCTTCCAGAGAGTTGGCAGTGAGACCTCTCAAGGTCAGCTCCAAGGAGCAAACGCTAACAAACTCTGCACTGCAGCATCTTTTGCAGTCTACTTTAAAGTAAACCCACTTCCAACACGGCCGTGACATACAGTCTGTATTAAACAACCGGTGTTCTTAAGAGAGCAGGAAGGAGGGAGAATACAGATCCAGCCTCCATGCCCAGTTCGGAGGTGTTTCCTCTGGGGCTTCACCTAGTGGTCTTAACTTTTTGAGAGCCTTACATCTTGTGAGAAGCAGAAAGGTCCCTCCCTAGGTGGAGCAAGGCCTTCTATAACCATCTAGATTCACAGCTTATTCCCATCAAGCAGCTAATATCCAGGATTCCCTGAGAACAGTGGTGAGATGGGATGGAGAACAGGTGGGGAAATAGAGGTGGGGGAAATGGTGGGAAAAACCCTTTTCAGTTCTCAGTAAGTAGCATAGCCTTTCACCTAGCTGCCCAAGGGAAACCCCTGGGAGTCACCCTTGATTCCTCTAACCCTTCCGCCAACATCCAGACACCAAGTTCTGTCACTTATGCTTCCCAAAGGTCATTTGAATCCATCTACTTTCTCCGTCCTCACTGTCACACCCCTGGTTCAGGCCACAGCACCTCTGGTCCAAATCCCCAAATAAAATCTCCCAAGTGGTCTCTGCCTCAACACTTACCTACCCCAGGCCTTTCTCCACCCAGCAATCAGAGTGAACTTCAGACAACTGACATATCTGACCGTGTCACGCCCCCATCCAAAGTCTCCCAGTGGCTTCTCCTGCCCTGGATAGATACAGGTCTCTTCACTTGGTTTATCAGGTCTCATGTCTTCCTCTCTCTTCCTTCTTTCTTGAACTTCAGCCAGACCGAGCTACTTTGGGTTCCCCAGATGTGACCTTCTCTTTTGCTTCTGTGCTACTGGGTGTACGGTTCGCTCTCTCCTGTCCCTACACTCCCCCAGATATTTCGGATTCGTCCCCTGAGGGATGGTCACTTCTGGAAGCCTCTTCCTCCTCCCCCAGCCTGGGCTGGGTGTCTTTCCTGTCTCCTCAGCTCCCTCAGTTACCCCTCCCCTCACTCATTACACTGCCTTAACATCCCTGTCTGTCTCCCCCCACTAGAGGAAAGATTCCTCGAGGTAGGGACTCTGTCTTGTACCCTAGTGCTCTACACAGTACCTGGCGCTGAGAGAGATGGGAACTGGGAATAATAGAGAAGCTCCATGAGATCAGGTGGTTGCCTTGGGGAAAAGAAAAGAACTAAAGATAGAAAATAGAAGCCAACCAAAAGACGAGAAAGAAGGCTTTCGATGAATGGTAGGTAATGATTTTAAAAATATACGCAGGGCAACCAAAAGGAGAGGGAAGAGAGGAGATGTAGGTATTGGAGTTAGAAGTAACAAGTGATAAGAAGAGCGTAAGAATACTGAAAAGAGGAAAGGGCAGTGGCAAAAACGGGTGGGATAGCCAAATAGGGAGAGAGGAAGAGAGAGCCAATGGGGAGGGATATGGAACCACTAACTAGGAGGTGCGAACAGTCAAAACACACAGGGCTTGAAGGACTCGAAGGGCCCAGTGAAAGGATAAGCGGAGACAGTAAGTCCCCGTCTGTTTACGGGCCGTGACCCCGAAACCTGAACACCCTACCCTTCCTCCCCAGGTATCCCCTCTCTTCGGCACCATCTATGACTCAATCTTCTTGTTGGCCGGGGGCGTGGTGCGAGCGCGGGCGGCCGCAGGTGGCGGCTGGGTGTCTGGAGCAGCCGTGGCCCGCCACGTCCGGGATGCCCAGGTCCCCGGCTTCTGTGGGGCCCTGGGAGGAGCCGAGGAGCCCTCCTTTGTGCTGCTGGACACGGATGCAGCCGGGGACCAGCTGTTCGCCACATACGTGCTGAACCCCACCTGGGGCTTCTTCCGCTCCGCCGGAACCCCGGTGCATTTTCCTAGAGGGAGACGGGGGCCTGGGCCCGACCCCTCGTGTTGGTTCGACCCAGACGTCATCTGCAACGGAGGTGAGGGCGAACATCCCAGCCCACACTGGGACAGTGACCGTGAACCCTCCACAAAGTGGTGAAAGAGAGTGAACTCTCATCCTGTAACTCCTGTTGGAGGCCCTTCCAGGTCCTCCTCAGAGACCCCTGGCTTGTGCAGGACCCCTGTCTTGCTGAGCCCCTGGAGCCCTCTTGGAACCTTTCTAGCATTCCCAGACCACCACCCCGCCCCGCCCTTTGCAGGACCCATGACCTTTCCCTAGATCCTCTTATGGGCTCCCATCCCCCTTTTCTGGAGCCTCCAAGATTTGACGTGACTGCATTCCTCCCTAGAGAGCAGCAGTCCCCAAGCTCTTTGGCAGCAGGGACCTGTTTCGTGGACGACAGTTTTTCCACGGACTGGGGCGGGGCGGGGGGTGTTCAGGCGGTGATGCCAGCGATGGGCAGCGGCAGATGAAGCTTCGCTCACGCACGCCGCTCACCTCCTGCTGTGCGGCCCGGTTCCTAACAGGCTGCGCGGACAAGTAGCGGTCCGCGGCCCGGGGCTTGGGGACCTCTGCTAGAGAGGATGCCCCCCCTCTGCTACAGTCCTCAGCATCTCTCCTCTCACTGCCCCTCCAGGAGTGGAGCCCGGCGTCGTCTTTATCGGCTTCCTCCTGGTGGTTTTGTTGGGGCTGACAGGAGCCTTCCTGGCCCATTATTTTAGGTGAGTAGGGTAAGTAGGAGAGGAGTTTGGCTCTCCACCTGCCAGAAATGCGACTGTGCAGCAGGCTGGGCCCACTCAAGAGTAGAAGGAGGGAGGATGTTTTTTGGAGAGGGGGAGAAGGAAGGAGTCCTGGAGGGCTGGCAGAGTCCCGGGGTGGGGGGGGTGTGGTTTGCGGATGACTGCCCTCTCCTGAGGCAGCATTTTCCGCCACTGGCTTCCTCTCATGGACCTTGGTCCCCTTTGCGAAGATGACCTCCTTTCTCTACCAGGCACCGCCTACTTCACATCCAAATGGTCTCCGGCCCCAACAAGATCATCCTGACTCTGGATGACGTCACCTTCCTCCCCCCGCAGAGGGGCAGCTCTCGGAAGGTGGGGGAGGAGGGGAGCCAGGACCCAGCTGTCCTCCCCTGTATGTTCGGTCCCCTGCCTGGGCCAGCCCTCACCCCAGCCCCCACCTGGGAAGGCCTGGTTTCTGCCTTCGCTCCGTCCCAGGTCTGAGTGCTGGGATCAACGCCCTCATGTGTGCAATGAGGATAACAGCCCCTGTCCTGACCGCTTTCCTTGGATAGGGTGAAGCTCCAACAGAAAATGAATATGTTTGTTTTGTAAGCTCTGAAGCGTCGCGTACTT